GTACAGTACTGCCAAGAAATAACTTATCAAAAACCGCGTCCAAGACGCGGGCATCTTGCGTCCACTATGCGTCCACGGGCGCCCGCGGGTGCGTCCGTCCTGCGGGCGCCGTGCGTCCATCGTGCGTCCACTGTGCGTCTGCGGGCGCTTGCGGGTGCGTCCACTGTGCGGGCGCCATGCGTCCGCTTTGCGTCTGCGGGCGAGGACGCAGCTGAGAAAGAGTTCTATTCGTAGATCGTCGGAAATTATCGCGTTTCGCTTTTCATAAACAAACCGTGGGCGTCGGAAAATATTCATGTTAGCAATTTCACACGACGTTAATTTTTATGCTTATACACAAGCGGTGCAGACCTAGAATCCTAGATATTTATGCTTCTAACATTAAACTTACCGTGAATTTTTAGAATTTGTGTTTCGTAAAGTTCCTTTTCGTATTTGATCTCTACTTTCGCACCTTCGTATAACGTTTGGTTTAAACCCAACAATCTTTTAACGTTGCCGGTTGGCAAAATGCACGTATATATGGTTTTATATCTTCTTCGAAGAAACCCAAAATACGTTTTGGTTGACAAGTAAGCGATCGATACCTCATTTCATTAGTCTGATAGTAATACGGATCAAGTAATATTAGTCTGAGCTCTTCACTTCAGCGAATTATACCGCAACTTTGAAAATCAAGCGATGAGTCACAGTCATTGAACCGTGTTGAAACACAAAGACTGTTTCCTGGACATGTAAAGGTATTCCATTAAGGGATTAGGAGAAGTCATTTATCCAGAAATTATATGGTAATTATCAATTTATATGACATATCACCATGTGCATTTACTGCTTTGGAAAAACAACACAAACTTGTTGCTGTAAATAAAGTTATATAGTGGCTCGTAGTAATGGTATTTTATATGAAAAATCAAAAGCACTATATATATTGTAAATGAGCATCTTCTTTTAATATACTGACGAGTTACGGAGACATAACATTATTCAAATACAGAATTGCATATCAACTAATCGGCAATCTTCTACGAGGTAAGTCAGAATTTGAGTAGCAAATGAATGTGTTGCGAGATATATACTCGTTGTAGTCGTGATCTCACTGAGTTTAGTATATGTGTCTACATTATATTTATATATAGTTTATCTCTATTTTACGCTCCAATATACAGTCATATACGCTTCAATCGCCACTCAAGTACGTGTGATTGCATTGTGAAAGCACTACGCTTACTGTAGTATAACGAAAAACATTATAAAATGGTTATACTAAGTGTAACGCTTCGGCTTAGGTTCAATGAAACTCGATTTCGGATTCAACTTTTTATTCTTGCTTCTCCGATCAGTGACACTGATCTGTATTCTCACGACAAACTACGAGTATGATGCAAATATTAGTTCGTTTTTCCGATTATGTTACGACGACTGCGTCCAAGCCGACGCAGTTTTTAACTAGAGGCCGGACGCGGGCGCTTTGGAGGCAGGACGCGGGCAGAGTAGACGCAAGACGCGGGCGTCGTGGAGGCCGGACGCGGGCGCTCTGGAGGCAGGACGCGGGCAGAGTGGACGCAAGACGCGGGCGCTCTGGAGGCAGGACGCGGGTAGACGCGGGGACAAGTTATTTCTTGGCAGTACTGTACATGTATTTTTAGCGACTTGTTATTCTATAAATATATTATAGCCAGGCTTTGTTCAGTTGTCGATGTTTCTGATATTGAATTGGTGACCGCGCCTAAATGTAAAAAAATAACTGTTGCTCTCAACCTTTTTGTGTGAGGTGGTCCGTTGAGCACCAGAACTCTATTCTTGATGAATAAAATTGTCTGGCATTAGACAGAGCAGGCCTTAAAATATCTTTTCCAGGGCCGTCTGACAAAATGTCCGGTGACGTTGAGTTTGGGTCGGACATATGTCGGATGACCTTCAGTTCATTTTTGACTTGGAAATAAGTCTGAATGACACAAATGAATAAATGGTAAATGTTGTAAAGATATTAAATAATTTGTTTCTTTCATACTTATTTCCAAGCCAAAATTAACTTGCTTGCCAGAACAGCAGTATTAAAAAAGACTTCGACAACTTAAGCCCGTTTTCCACTTCACCATTTTGCTCGCCGCCCCGCGCTCGACTACGTTAAAACAACATTTCCAGTTGACCTTTTATACAATAGTACTCTGATTTTCCATTTAACATGCAAGCCTGTCTCTAGACCTGGGCTAGGGTACATTTTGATTTACGTCGGACAAAGCTACAGTTCGGTCGGACACCAATACACTCGGGTCGGACAAACAATAAACCTCTCAGTCAGTTTCACTTAGGTCGGACAGAATGTCCGGTGGTTTCCTTTCTACGTCGGACAATTTCACGAATGGGTCGGACAATGTCCGTGACCGACCGATATTTTAAGGCCTGCAGAGTAAAAAAATAAAGTCATGTAGGCGGCATTGTGACACAATGTAACTTATTAATGGGTTAACCTGTCTAGTGCCAGCACTTTCCCATTAACAAGTAAAGCATTAGACAGCTAAATTTTTGCAGGATTTTTGGTAAGATCTTGCAGGATCAAGGCAAGATTTTGCAGGATTTTTTAGTAAGATCTAGTAGGATTTTTGGTAAGATCTTGCAGGATCATGGCAGGATCTTGCAGGGTCTTTGGTAAGATCTTGCAGGGTCTTTGGTAAGATCTTGCAGGATCTTGGCAAGATCCAGAATGATCCTGCAAGAACTTGAATGGAAAGATCTTGCAAGATCCTGGGTAAGATCTTGTCAAGATCTTGCTGGGAACTTGGTAAGATTGTCAACCTGGGAGCCATCTCCTCTTGATGAGTAATGGTATTAGACCAGGGATATTTTCAAGCACTTTTCTACCGGTATACGGTAGTAAATACTTGAGTTTAATTGAGTTTTGAAACCCAATCTTTCTCCACAATGACTTTTTTTCACAATTTGATTTTTTTTTTAATGTAAATGTTGCATTAAAAACCTATTTTTGTATACAATTTTGTTCAAAAAGCTGTCGAATACTGTTTCACTTCTGAGACACAAAATCTCGTATAGGAATACTCATGCCCATGCACACTAGAAATGTGTACCACAAACGGGGCCGCACATTACGGGGGGTGTGAAGGGGTGTGACACCCCCATCATTTTGGGAAATAGTAAAAAAAGTCTGTCCCAAATGAACCATTTGTCGATCCCCATCGTCCGGTGTAAACATTACGCAAAGTTACAGTATTGTTTCCGTGAGATTTATTTTTTGGACAGTGTCCAAAAAATAAGTAAGGTTACAGATTGCCATTATACACTGCCTGAATCAACTTCCTTTCTGTGCTCAACAGCCAGATGATGGCCAAACTAAAGTCTGAAAATGCCATTTCCGACGATCTAGAGACTTCAAAGTTGCCAGGATATCTAGGATTCAAATGTGCGTAACTAGATTTTCTCGGAGGATACCAGATTCCAAGTTACTATACAGACGTATCCCCGTTGGATACAGACCTTAAAATATTTTCAGGGCCGTCTGACAAAATGTACGATGACTGTGAGTTTGGGTCGGACATACTGTATGTACAGTACAGTACCTTCGGTTCAGATTGGCTCGAAAATAAGTCTGAATAACACGAATTAGTATCAGCACAATGTATTAAATTCTGAACGGTAAATGTTGTGAAAATATTAAATAATTTGCGTCATTCGTACTTATTTCCAAGACAAGATTAACTTGCTTGCCAAAAACAGCAGTAAGACTTCGACAACTTAAGTAATAAGTCCGTTTTCGAGTTCATTAGAACAACATTTCCAGTTCACTTTTTATATGTACGTCACTCTGACACGAGCTTCTAGTTCTGGAAGGGTACATTTTGATTGACGTTGGACAAAGCTATCGTTCGGACGGACACCAATGCACTCGGGTCGGACAAACAATGAACCTCAGTTTCACTTAGGTGGGACAGAATGTCCGGTGGTTTTCTCACTACGTCGGACAATTTCACAAATGAGTCGTACAATGCCCGTGTCCGACCGATATTTGTAGGCTTGTGGATAGTGCTGAAAATATAAAATTCCAAGCCTTGAATGGGTTAATAGACCTGTCAATGCCTTGAAAGTACTGGACGGTTATTCAAATATTACAGTAACTAGAATACTGGATAAAATATTTTGGTTTTCAACAGGTGCCAAAATTAAAATCTGGTGATCACAATAGCACCATATCTACTGGTACTATGCTCGCAGATATAGGAGCTGGTTTGGCGATTGTTCCGATGATTGCATTTTTAACAAGCATCGCTATTGCGCAGTCGTTTTCAAGAAAGAATAAGTATCAAGTTGACCCAAGTCAAGAATTGATTGCGTTAGGAGTTGCTAATGTGGCTAACTCCTTTGTTTCTGGTTTCCCCATTGCTGGCTGTTTTTCAAGAACAACAGTAAATTCACTGAGTGGAGTTGCAACACCCTTTGGAGGTAAGATGTTTTTAAAATATATTGTACAAACTATGCGAAACCAATAATCTCCCTGTTCGGCATTGACAATAACACAGATATCCATCGAGAGAAAAAAACAAAAATTACGGAAATTTTAGACAAGCACAGCACTGCTTTGGCTACAGTATTATCCTAATTCTTGATCTTTAGGCTATCACAATAGTCAATACACCCACTAATGCCTTCACGTATTGCTTTGCATCAGTTCCAGGGTGAAATAATTTAGTTTTAGTGTTATTAGCTTTCGTACGTCATGATACGAGGAGTTCAACAACAAAGCAAGCTCCAATCAAGGTTTAACTCAATATAACAGTGCTACGCCACTGTTATTGTTTTTAAGCCAATTACAGGGGTTGAAATTTAAAAAAATTTTACTCCCCTAAGTCGTTACCAGTGAATAAGATCTGGTTGAGCCAAATTTAATACCATGTCGCCCTAAATCAATGTGTTATGAAGTATTATTATAAAATAACATGTATATAACGCGTATTCTGATTGGTCGAAAGCCGTGTTTGGATCAGGCCATCCAAACACGGAAGACTACCGTGTTGTTGTTAGTTTATAAAACAATTACTTTATGGTTTCCGTGTTTGGATGGACTGATCCAAACACTTGGGAATGTTGCTCGAGTTAAGAAAAGCGGGCAAAATCACTCGCCTTCGGCTCGTGCATTTCGCTCGCTTTTCTTAACTCTCGCAACATTCCCGCGTGTTTGGATCAGGCCATCCAAACACGGAAACCATAAAGTAATTGTATATTTTTGTACAGTATATTATAACATAAGAAACAGTTGTTTAATGAGTTGAGAATTTATATGCAAAAGTACAATGAAATAAACGTATGATCACTGAGATATTTTAGGGTACTGTACGAGGTACTGCATACTTCATGTATTTTGCTTTTGCTGGTACTATATGACCAGCAAACTTTCCAAGGTATTCCAAATCGTGATTTGTCTGGCATGAAGCATAATTGGACTGATTGTATGAGATCAGACCAAGGTGGAAAGGAATGTTGGAGTGATTGTACGTGTTTATGTGTATGCAATTGTACTACTTCTTGTCCTAACTCGTAGTTTTCGAAAGCTCTGCTTAATGTATTTTATTTTAAAGACTAAGTACACCTTGTGTACCAGCTCAAGTACCCCGCAATAATCATTGAAATACCATTGAGGTACATCATCTAAATATCATTAATTATCGTACCCTAAAAGTAAAAGCATGACAATTTCACTGAGCACTAATGTACAGTACAATTAAGAGAGGTCTGTAACAAAACTAGACTGAGACAAAGGCATAATTGCATTCCATACAATATATACTGTACAGTGTATATAAGTATGCATGGGTCATCAACTATTCAATCGAGTGAGATGCAAACAAAATATTAACTTGCAAAAGCATTCTACCCAATACACATAGGGAGTTTCTGCGAAGGGTTTCAATCCACGTTCATTCGTACTTGCTAACTGGATAGAGAGTAATCCATATGACCAATCTGCATGCTCAAAACACAAAAGCAAGTACAGTATACATATTGAAGTATTGATGTTTTACTTCAAGGTGTGGTCACAAGTTGTGTGGTTCTACTCGCTCTCAGCATTCTCACACCGTTTTTCCAATATATCCCCAGACCCACCCTAGCTGCAGTGGTTATTGTTGCTGTTTTGCGGACGGTAAATATTCGAATTATTAAGAAGATATGGCGAATTAGGAAAATCGATGTTGTTCCTTTGGTCGTGACCTTCTTTGCTTGTCTGTATGAAATTGCAGTTGGAATTGCATGCGGAATTGCCATAGCATTAATGATCCTCCTGTACCGTCATTTTTTACCCAGAGTTGATTTTCAAAAGGGCGAGATGTGCTATATTAAACTAGACGGGGGTTTGAGTTACATGGGAGTGCAATATGTTATCACCAAAGTCAGGGAAGTTGCCATACTCCATGTTTCCAAACCTGAAACCGTTATAATTGACTGTACATCGATGTTTGAATGTGATTTTACTGTCAGCCAAGGCTTCTTACAAATCGTTCAAGATTGTGAACATGGCGAGATCAATGTGATACTCTTCAATGTCCGAAACAATGTTAAGAAGATGTTAATTAATGATGGATTATCACATGAGTTGTTTAGGAACGATATTGATAGTATTGATGGTGAATTTTCGGGTTTGTTGACTAACGATAAGGAAAGGAATGGGAAAACATTGCCCGATAAATCTGACCCATCTGTGAACAATGTTAACACATAGTTATACAGTCGAACCTGTTTAATACAGACTTCGAAGGAACAGAGAATTAAAGAAAATTGTTCGTTTTCATCCATAAGTCGTTTTCATTTCCAGCAAAATCCGATAGTGTCTAAAGTTATTGATTTTGCAAGTAGTTAGGTATCATAGAATCTTGAGGGTTACCTTTCCCATGCGAAAGAATCATGATATTAGAATTCCTATAGGAATTCATATTAGATTGTGACCCAAACACAGTTACGCTACGTCATAGACCCTACCTCGATTCGTAGAATACGCGAGGAATCGAGCTAGAGTCTATGACGTATATAGGCTAAAATCCAGTGGAAATTCTTATAGAATCTTTATAATTATAGAGCAATAAATTTCCAATAGGATTTGCTATTAGAATTTCTATAGGAAATTTATTCTTATTAAGATTTTGAATCATGCAGAATTTTCATGTAGAAGGGTAATTCTGAAGGTTTTCTGATATTTAAGTTTCAAAAGCTCCAGGTTAAGGATTTTTTTCTGAAGTTGGGTATAAATCAGTAGTTCAACAATTAAAACGTATAGTCTGTATTGACGTACTACCACATTGTGTATATTGAAAAAAGATGTTTGCGTAACTGTAAACGTGATATTGCATATAACATCTATATCTATAATAAAGAGTTAAATTTATATGTATTTGCCGTGACTTTGTGTCCGTTGTTCCTTTTGGAGAAAGTCTGTGTTGTTACAACACAGACGTTCTGTTGTATCAGACATACAATCTGATAAAAACAGTGCTCAATACCATATAGATAGAGCGTAATATAGTTTTTCGTTTTACTTAAAAAAACCACAACAGTCTGTTTCACCCGTATAGGAATCATCAGGTGGTTGATTCCTATACCGATGAAACAGACTGTTGTGGTTTTTTGAAGTAAAACGATAATATATATATATATATATATATATCAAGAGCCAGCCCCAAAAAATCTTCATTTATAAATATCAAGAAATCATAAATCTTCAAAGTAAATAAATTATATTTTTACGTTTCGGGGACAAGCCCCTTCTTCAGAATAACGCTACATCATCTCCGTCTCTTGCTTAAATAGTCTAACGTTTAGCTATGCATAAATTAATTAAACCTCTTCCCTTAAATTAAGCCCACGTGGGACATAACTATTTAGTCTCTCAATC